TCAAGGATGAGCTTGTGGTGACAAGACTGAGTTTGAGGTAGAATTAGGAGAGAAAAGGAGTGGGGGAGAGGCTCAGGTGAATTATTCTCAACATCTGGCTGAAGTCCATTTGCTCTAATAAAACAGTCCGCTCTTCTGCAAAAGTTGAATTCTGCCTTCATTATTCTAAGATTCAACTTTCCTGTTAAGGCAAATACACCTGACCTAATCTGACTTGAATAACAAATCTTCATGGCCCAGGGTGACTCAAATCCCTTTAACCCCAAAGAGACAAAGAACCACTTCATTATGCCAACTGTTAAATTTTCCTTCCAAGAGGAAGAAATCTTTTTCAACTTAGAAACTCCTATAGCATTTATTATGTGAAACGTAATCACATGCTAATTTGTATTGTTATCTCAATTTTTAATGTGTTGACATCATATTTTCTCCAATCATTTTTAGCTCCATGAGAACAGGCATTTTTTTCTCATTCCCTACACCCCACAGGTATAGTGTAGTACTGGATACAAACTATAAAAAGGGAAAACAAAACAAATCAAAACAAAAAAAGAGAGAGAAATATTAAAACATTTAAAAGAAGAAGAAAGCATGAAAAGAAAAATAATTTAACTTTCTGCCTCATCAATACTTTTTAAAAGTCTATTTTGAAGACATGAGTGGCAACAGAAGCCACCCTTCAACATTTGCAACAAACCATGATATGTGAAGTTGAAATAATCCTAAAGTACTGATACACAGAATAGTCTATAGTGACCGATGCAGACTCTTCTCCCATCCATACCAGGTATCCATATGTCACAGTGATTTTTACCTATTAGTTTTGTAAAGATAAAGGAAATAGAATGGGAGGTTTTAATTTTCAAGTGTCATATGCATTGAGGCCATTAAATCTATATGATACTTAATATATCAATATCTGTCTCCTCTTAGGATCACATCTATAAAATAGAGATTACAAAACATACCTTCCATATGTCTCACAGGAGGATTCCAAAATCAATGATTTAAACAACTTGTTGAATATTCAAAAGCTAAGATTCCAGTTGACAAATGACTCCCTTCTGCTCTCTTAAGGGGAAAGAAGTGGGAACACTCAAGGGAAAATTAAAGGGACAGGAAAACCCAGTTCTGTCCACTTCATTCCTCTTTAAAGATCTCAGATATGTTTGTCTTGAGAAGATGTTCAGATTTATCATTTTTAAAGGTAGACATTTGAGGATTTCAATTATTCGTTTGTCCCCATTCCCCATTAGCAACCATTCTGCTCTATCTATACAGAATTTTTAACCGTCTTCAAAACAAAGTGCTCTGAAAGTATGACTTATTCTTCTGTATCAAGCAACATGGGGGGAAATGGAGATTATTTAGATTCTATTCCACCACTCAAAAGGTGGATTTATCAGACTAAAAGGTTTACAAAAGAATTTCAATAGGTAAATATCAATCTGGCTGCTAACAGTTTTAATAGTGATTAATATTCTACAGCTAATAACAACTTGCTGGCAAAATGCCCCCAGAAGATGGCATTGTTTACACTATTGTCAAAAAGGAACAGCTGTTTATCCCTGCTACATTCAGAGCTGCAGTATTCATACTGAAATGTTAACAAATCTTAGACAAATGTCTGCTGTTGAAGGCTTAAATTTGCTCTGAGAACAGGTGTGTTTGAGAGAGAGAAAAAAAGCTACAACTGTAAACAGGATTTTAAATGAGGTGCAATTTATATACTATACACTAAGTCTGTATATGGACAACTAAATGCAGCGTTCCAATATTTACTAATAACGTTAAGATCATTCACAGTTTGGGAGCTTTGTGTAAAAAAAATTGCCTGATTGCCTTTTAATGTATATTCCAAGCACCTTTTACTGACACAGATGGATTCAAGGCATCCTGTCAGAAAATGAAGCCAACATCTTCCATAACTTTTGAAATGTTTAACTAAACATTTTTTGGAAAAGTATAGTAAGTAGGATGATGTAGTGGAGCATTAAGCTCAGTGAACAAAGACCTGTGTTGTTGTTGTTTTTTTTTTGCGGTACGCGGGCCTCTCACTGTTGTGGCCTCTCCCGTTGCGGAGCACAGGCTCCGGACGCGCAGGCTCAGCGGCCACGGCTCACGGGCCCAGCCGCTCCGCGGCATGGGGGATCTTCCCGGACCGGGGCATGAACCTGTGTCCCCTGCATCGGCAGGCGGACTCTCAACCACTGCACCACTAAGGAAGCCCGACCTGTGTTCTTTGAAAGCGTTTTCCCATTTATAAAAAGAGAGGTCTTGAAATGCTGGTAAGCATATGGAGCTGAGGGAAATCTCACACACTGCTGGTGGGGAGCGGGGTATGAATTGGTAACATCTGTTTATTGGTAACATCTGGCAATACCTATTAAAGCTGAAGAAAAGCCTTTCCTACAATCCAGAAACTCCAGTCCTAAGTACATGGTTGAGAAAGACTAAGATACTGGTACAAGATTTTATAGTTTATATTGAGGAAAAAAACCTGGAAATAATCTATAGATTCATAAACAGATGAATTAATGAATTGATTGTGGCATATTCATAAAATAAAATATAATACAGTAGTTAAAATGAAATAATTATGACTACCTGTATCCAAGTGCATAAATTAAATACATACGTGTGTGTGTATATATATATATACACACACATATATATATACATATACATATGTATATATATAAAATGTTGAGTTGAGTAAATTGCAAGGTGCAAAATGAAAAAGTATTGATATGATGACATTTATATATTGGTTAAAGACAATCAAAATAATACTATAAATTGTTTAGGGATGTATATATTTTTGATAAGAGTATAAAAACATAATGAACAGGAATGGAAAAGAAGTGTTTACTTCTAGGTATGGTGGGACACCAATGGGATCAGGCAAGAATGCAAAAGGGACTTAAATTACATTTTTAATATTTTATTTATTTTAAAGCCGTTTAAATGTTAAAGAACATACAAATCTGGATAATGGTTCCTAGCTTTTCTAGACTCTCAAGTATGATTAAGCTAGCCACATAGGTGTCTTTAAACCTGAGATCCTCAAAAGCCAGGGGAAGCAGCCCCTCAGAGCCCTCAGTAGGAGAAGGCAGGCCCAAACCACTGGACTTGGGACTGCAGCCCCCTCCTCACTCAGGTCCCTGCCAACAGGGCAGCTTCTTGGCTCACCTCCGCTTTGATATTTTGTGATTCACCATCTTCTCTCCCACAGCTACAGCCTGTGCTGGAGAAGTATTCTGGTTGTCCAAGAACCTAGTAACTAACATGATTATTTTCAGTTAGAAGCTTAGACACAAGAGGATATTTTACTTACAAGTGAGAGGACCTCAGAATTCTATTCCCTTCTCATTCAACTTTCGATTAATATTCCAATGATGTGAGTCCAGCTCTAACCAAAACCACAAGGTTAACTTCAGGATTCACGCAGAAGCTGCTTGAATCCCAGCTCAACCTGCTGTAGCTGTGCAGCTGCCAGCTGAGGACCAAGAGTTGTCAGGAATCTACAGTGTAAAATAAGTCTGCATATTTGTTGCTGCTGAGGGAAATGGGGCGGGAGGGAAAGGGAGACATCAGCTTCCTCTGAAGTGACTCCATCCCTAACTTGATTGTAAGCTTCACATAGAAATCATTATGGCACCTCATTTTGTTAAGGTTTGACAGCTTTCTGACACCTTCAATAAAAACAAAATAAGTTGCTTTATGGTCAAGCAGGAGAGTCCCCAGATGCAAACTAGAAGCCCAAAGACAAAACCAGGGTTTCTAATAGGGAGCTTCTAGGAAGAAACCAAAACTACTCCTTTCCCGCATTTTAATTTAAACCGCTCCAGAGGAGCTTTCAGATCTCGAATGCTATGAGCCAGCCAGGACCACCCTGACTCTCATCATTACCATACCCAATTTCTCTCCCCGTCTCTCTCAGACGCCAGTAACCTCCCGGGCTCCGGAACCGAAAGCACCAAACAACTTGCAGTACTTGCCCAAAGCTACAGGCCAGCAGCTGGGAGGGAGACGCAGACGTGGTCCGCCGTGAAAGGTTGAGCCACCGGAGGTGGGAGCTGGAGGGGCGGGGTCGGGACCACGTTAAACCGCTAGATCAGAAATCCCAATATTACCAATACCCGCCAGCCTTCCATCCTAGAGAACAAACACAGGGGAAGTTCAATCGCGTAATTCAATAATTCAAGTCTTCCCTCTCCTCTCAAAAAAAGAAAAAAGCATCTCGTTGCCAAGCTTTCCATGGGAAATGCCCTCTTGCTAATGCTTTCTGTGTTCCAACTCCTTTTAGTAACCCTTTAGCATCGTTCTTCGAAAACCTGGTTTAAATTTCGATGCCTTTATGCACTCCCCCCACACACACATTGGGGGGAGGGAGAGGGAGGGGAAGCCAAAGAGACGGAGGCAGAGATGGAAATGTGCGCTCCCTCCCCGGTCCCCTCCAAGTGGCCGGCGCGCACCGCAGCGCCGGCCGGCCGGGGTGGAAGGCGCCCGAGCCGGGCGAAGACCCGCCCAGGCCGCTCCTACCGGAGAGCGAGGGGCGGGCCTGGCCGGGGGCGGCGCCGCGCGCCACGCTCGCCTATAAGGAGCTGTCCGCCGCCCGGGTGCTGATTCCAGTTCTAGCTGCCGACGAGGTGCAGTCGGCGGTCGAGCGAGCTCGGCGCCTGCCGTTGCGTCGGGTCGGGGTTTGCACCTTTAAGGAGGGGGCCGAGGAGGAAGAGGCGAGCGAGGAAGGCGAGTGCTGCCGGCGGCCGTTGCGGGGACAGTACCTCCTTCCGCAGCTCCGGAGAAGCCCCCGCCACGGTTTCCGTAGAGCGTTTGGGCACGGGATGGAGTGAAGCCGCGAGTGCCTCTCCAAGGGGGGGTGGGAAGGGGTCAGGCGGTGCGGAGGAGAAAGAGAGAGACAGAGAAAGAAAGAAGAAGCCGCGGCTGGCGCCTGCGAATTTGAGATTCGATTGGGAGGGACCTCTTACTCGGGGGAAATGGATTCTGGACTACGGCTGACCAGCGTTTTCACTTTGTTCTTCTCCGGCTTGTGGCATTTAGGATTAACAGCGGCAAATTGTGAGTTCCAGGAGCTGGGGGCGGGTAGGTGAGGTGGGAAAGGCTGCCGTTTGGAAAGACACTCAACTGTCCAAGCGTGTTCAATTGTGTCTGCTCTGAGCAGAGGGGAAGGGGGAAAAATGCTGATTGGTGTGTTTCTATCACTCTAACCATCCCAAAAGTTAGCAGAGCTCGAAGGAGCCGGCCCCGTTGGATTTCTTGCCCTTCTCCCCGAATCGCAAAGTTCGGGGGAGAAGGGAAGGTTCTCTACCCTCCGCCTCCCGTCAGCTCCGCGTTCTCTGCCTGCCTGGTCTCAGCTGGGGCTTTTCCCGAGCAGGGCCCCCGGTTCAGACTGGATGCACGGGGGACTGAGCTTCCAGAGACAGAGATGCTCACAGCCACCGCACTCGGTGACAGAGGCTCATTTCTGAATGCGGCTGCCTCGCTCGGATTTGTAGTATGCCCAGTGCCCCACAATCCATGGCTTTCAGCTCTCTCCTAGGCAGAAGGCTCCAGTTGGGGTATCTTGCAACCAATGGTCATCGGTTTAATAGGGTTGGGAGTTTTGGCCTAAGAGTCATGGCCCGATGTAGTCAAACCACAAGATCAATGGCTGACCCTGTTATAGGAGGAAGAGCTTTGATGCGCACTCCACCCCCAAAATCTTTGTGCCAAAGAACGCATAATGAGTATGCGCTAAGTGTACACTTTGTCGTCCAAGCTCTAACCTCAGCAAGTGCAGGGCATTTAATTTAATAGGCAGGAAGGCTGGACACCTGGGGATGTGCCACCTGCACTGTGTATTTAAAGAACCTAGTTTGTCAAACTCGAATAAATCTCTGGAGCCATCAGAGGTTCAAGCTCAATTGCTCAGCTGCCTCTCTAGGCAGAGAAAGGGAAGTTTTTCCAGCTCTGGAAACTCCTAAATGAGAAAGAATGCAATTAAGCCGTCTGTGTTGTTTCCAAAGATGGTTTATCAAGGTTCCTCAAGCTTCTGGGCGTGCTCCCTTATCTGCTAACCCCCACCATGACCCTCAGAAATATCTAACCGTATTGGAACAGTTTTGATACTATTTTTTTTTGGACTCTGAACCATCACTGTTAGAGAAGGGTAGGAGGACCACTTACTACTTACAAGTTTCTCTACCTCACTTCCCACCCCCTTAGGTCCAAGAGGACCTTAAGTAAGAGATACTTAATCGAGGGTTATACCTCAAAGGCAAACACTTAGAAAAATGTTCTTTACTGAGAATGGTCCAAAGCTGAGCCAGTGTTTCTATCTGTGATTGGAAGTTTGGGGGATCCAAAATCGATAGTTAGTGGAAATGTGTTATAAAGATTTTATTAAAGTTTGTATTCTAAGGGAGTGCTGAAGAGGTCAACCTCTTTAAAAAGGAGGAGCCAAAGGGCCTTAGTTCAGAAATTATTTCAGAGAATAGGGAGAGACAGGGTAGAATCTGCTGTTTCTCTCCTCTTCCTCCTGTCCCCACATCCTCCAGCCCCTCCTCCTCCTTTTTTTCTTTTTTTAAGTAAAATTGTTCTCATGGTGCTTTAGAAAAACATCTAAGTGATTCAGTAAGAGGAAGTTAGGCACAGTGCTGAGTTAATTTCTCTACTTCCTAAAACACTAGAGGTCAGTATTGTCCTAATGATGCAAAGGTGTGGCAACGAAATAGCCGTGTTTTTCCTTTAGCACATTTACCTACCTGAAAATAGTGAATATTTTGAAGATCCATGAAAGAGGGATGAGGAATAAGGGTGAAATAAATAGAACATACTCTATAGAAATATGATTTGGGCTTCCTTATGTAGCACCTTAAGAGCGAGGAAAAAAATTATAGAACGGCTTTTTCTGTAAACTAATTGAATTATGGTTAATGTTATAATAATGCTCATAAAACCTAAATGGTATGAGTTTAAGGCTCATGCTTATCATTACAGATGCAGCAATAAAGCTAATTCTGAACATTTAAAATAAAACTTTGTGATAATGATCTTTAGTATTTCATCAGGGACAGTTTAATTTACCTGTTTCCAATCAGCATTTCAGTTGAATGCACGCTGCTTGCTAAATATTTTGGAGTCAATGTTCCTAAAGTATAATGTTAAATGTTTTTATTTTGCCAAACAAAATGTATTAATCCAGTGAACAATAGAATAGCAGCAGAAAATTACTTCTGAATTCAATCCTGGTGGTCTTTGAAACCTATGTTGCAGAACCTCGAAGAAAAAAAAAAAAGAACATTCTACAATTCTTCCAGACTTTTACTGTCCACTTTGACTTACTAGTTATCTACAACCCATTAACATTTAGATGCATCTAATGAGGAAAAGAAATCTCCTTTCAAATAGTCAATTTGTGTAAGCTTATAGATAATTTGGAAGATTTTTTCCCGAGATTATTATTTCTATATTTTGAAATAATACTTCAAGTCATTCATGACAGTTGTCTTGGAAATGGATTATTTACCCAAGATGCTCCATGGTATACTTGTGAACTTTGTTCAAGTAAAAACAACTTTTAATTGCTTCTATTCTTCTAATAATAATTTTTGCTGTGTGTATGTAGGATGTGTGTGTGTTCATGTGTGTGTGTGTGTGTGTGTGTTTATGTGTGTGTGTATGTGTGTTTAATTTTCTCATAATCTGAGCAAAACTTGGGAATTTAGCTGTAAGGGAAAAAAGAATGCTTACCCAATTATAGATTTTATAAGTTTCTAATTAAACAAAATTAAATAAAGTTAGGTTAGAAGGCCAGCTACAGTATAGATAATATGAATCTGTGCAGAGAACATAATTACCCACCAGTAATAAAAACTCTGAAAATTCCCCAATTTCGGATTTTCAGCATATTAAATAGCTATCACACTTCCTTTGAGTTTACCCTGAGGGAATTAGTTAATTTCAAATGTAGATATGATAGGACAATGTTAAATGAGAAACCATTTTACATATAATATTAGCTCCTTTGACACAAGAAGAAACGATGTGACTTGATAGTTGGTTAAAGTGAAACCAGGAGTTTGAAATGCTAGGAGTTCTAGCCCTAGTTATGCCACAGCTAAGATGCCAAATGCCCATCAGGTGATGCATCGTTTCTGTGCTCGCAGCTCAGGTATAAAATAGCAGTTGAGATATGTATCTACTTCCAAATAGAACAGCAGCTCAAATTTTACAGAGGAGATTCTTTGAATAGTAGGTACGTTGAAAGACTATTATAGTGGGAGAACTTGCATTCAAAAGATAAGAGGAATGCAGGAGACACTTATAGGGCTGCTGTTCACTTTAGTTTACAATAATTGGATGTTACGTGGTTATAAAGAGCCTTCATTCTGACCAATCAGTCACTTTGGATGATCTCTAAACATCTTATCTCTTTGTTGCTACATATTAGGTTCACACAGATAACAGCCTTGAGAGAGAAATAAACAACTCTTTATCCCTTTCATCACAGGCAGAACTTTATCGAAAATATAGGAAAATGTCAATCATAATTCCTAAAGATCTTCAAATAAAGAGATGCACTGTACCTTGAGTTATTTGAAGCTTACACACAAACACAATCAATACGTAATATTATAAATAAACAAACATCAGATTATCTTCAGCAGGAAGCTGTTTGCAGTATACTTCTTGTGGCATTTATGGACATCTGAAGTGAAAGAAGCATTATAATGCTCGTTTGGAAGAGTCCTGAAGATTTTTCCATGATTGAATGGCTCGTCTTTCACCATCCATACGAACTCTCTTGCCTTTCTGTCTGTATAGTCCCCGTCTCCAAACCAGATTCATATTTCCACAACTGAAAAATATGAACAGCTAGACTAGCAATTTTCACACAAGGGTATAGACTTATAAGAAAGTTAGGTTCTATAAGAATCACCTTACTCACCGCCACCTCTTATTCTCATTCTAATGAATGACTGTCTTCTAAGTTGCAGTTTTCTTTTTTCCCTGCCCCTCTTGCCTTTTCTTTCTTTAGTGGGACCCAGTTTCTCTTTACTAGATTGCCTTACTTTTCAGTGTCCATTTGTTACAAAACAAAATAACGTGATATCGTTTGCAATGTTCCTAAAGCCTTTAGTTGGTGAACCAAAGCCCTTTATCTTACATGTCAGAACTCTGCTGAAATATGACCTATATATACAAAGCTAATTATCCTTGTCATATAGGACAGTGAGGAGATGCTCTAGTTACCTGAAAGACCAGAATACAAAAGTCATTCATTCAATAAGGCTTTATTTTGAAGCTTCAGTGTACTCATTTGGAGCCTAATGACATTTTTTTAATTCATAGGGGAAACTGTCTTCATTCATCAAAATTCTGACACTTTCTGGCAGATGTCCTTATAAATGCTATTGACTTATCCTAACGATGTTGGTGTATTAAGAAGTTGGATCAAATGATTATTAAGGTCTTATTTGTCCCTTATTTGTCCCAATACATTTTTGTCTTTAACAGTTGATGTTGCCTACTGGTCATTCCATTTGGATACTTCTGGGATAATTGTGCTCAAAATTGTTAAGCAATTATATTTAGAATAACAACTTAATAGGGTTTTAATTCCTACTAACTGCTATGCACTTTGTATCTCTCACGCCATGTGCCGTGTTTGCATAATTTGACAAGGCAGCACAGCCAGGTAGACTTTATTAAATCGGGTTTACAGATGACTAAATTTAAGGTTAATCGAAGTTAATAAATTTCCCAGGATCATAAAGCTAAGCAATGAAAAAAAATTTAGGATCTGGACCTATATCTATCTATTTCCAAAGATCAGAGTCTTTGCAAGATATGAAATTAATTCCCATGCATTCTGATGGGGTCTATGTGTGAGCATCTGTAGAACATTGCCTTGGGATCTCTGTGGTTAGCCTCTGCGGTCTATCCATAGCAAAGGGCATGGAGGCAGCCGCTTCCACAAGAACCAACTCCTGAGTTATACCTTCAAAAAACAACCAAACAATTGGAATCTAGATTTGATGCAAGATGCCGAACATCACAATGGTCAAAGATAGGAA